GTTCCCGAGGATAGCGATGTCTCTGACTTCGAGGGGGAAGAAGGAGATCAAGAAAGCAATATGGACGGGTCTAATACAGACTCTGACGAATCATACAATTCTGCGAGTGAAATAGAACATGAAGCTATTCCACCTTTGGAATCGGATGATAGTGAGAGTGATTTTCAGCGAAATGAAACAACAAATTCCACTAGAAGACGATCGAGTAGGGGAAGACCACGTGGCAGAGGAGCACGCGGAACTGCTGCACGAGGGGCAAGATCACGATCCCCTGCAAACCGACGTGATGAAGACAATTCAGCTATAAGGTGGGGAAATCGTGATGAGAATGTTGTTGTTTCATTTCCTGAATACAGGGGGCAGCACGGCCCTATTACTCTTCTGGAAGCTGACTCTGAGCCAGTAAATTTTTTTAGTCTTTTATTCCCTGAAGAACTCTGGGATATTTTAGTAGAACAAACAAATCTGTATGTTGCCCAGAAACAAAGAAAAACTTGGCTCTGTGACACAAATAAAGATGAGATGAAAGCATTTGTTGGTGCCCTTTATTTCATGGCTTTACACAGACTGCCCAATTTTGATCATTACTTTTCTCGGGATTGGGTATTTGCTGTTCCTGCAATGCAAAGTGTTTTTACCAGGAACCGATTCTGGCAACTGTGGCAGAATTTTCATTTGGCTGACAACACAAGGCAGCCTGCTCCTACTGATGATGCCTATGATAAGCTCTACAAGTTAAGGCCCATGATCAATGGAATGAAAGAAAAATTCGAGCATTCATACAATATTGGCCAGAAAGTTTGTGTTGATGAGCACATGGTAAAGGGAAAAGGGAGAAATCCTTTCAAACAGTACCTTCCCATGAAACCAATCAAAAGAGGTACAAAAATCTGGGAATTGGCTTGTTCGTGTTGTGGATACCTTTATGATTTCCAGGTGTACACAGGGAAATCTGGTGGAAATGCTGAAAAAGGTCTAGCACATCGGGTTGTTACTGACCTAGTTGCGCAACTTCAGGACAGAGGAACTGTATTGTACATTGACAATTTCTTTACCAGCATTCCCCTTTTGCAAGAGTTGAGTGAGCTATCAATCAGTGTTGTGGGAACAATAAGAAATAATCGAAAAAATTACCCAAAGGCTTTGCAGGGTAAAAACTTACTAAAACAAATGAAGCGTGGTGAATTTCATACTGTGGCATCTGAAACAACAGTTTGCACAGTGTGGAAAGATACCAAACATGTTTCTTTTTTATCAAATGTGCACTCTTCTCATGGCAATTGCACAATCACCAGAAAACTGAGAAGAGGTGAACAGGTAAATTTGCCCTGCCCGCCATGTGCAGTTGACTACAATAAGAACATGGGTGCTGTCGATCGACATGATCAAATGGTGCGCAATTATGCTATTGATCGCAAGTCCAGGAGATGGTGGGTGAGAATGTTTGTTAACTTTTTGGATGCAATTATGGTCAATGCATACATTGTGTACAAGGAAAATTTCCGAATTATGAACATGCCACCTCCACAAAAACCCCCAAAGCCATTGTCCCATGACAAATTTATGGCTGGTGTCATCCACAAGCTGATTGGAAATTTTTCTTGCCGACGTCAGCCTGGCCCAGCACCAGCCATGCCTCCCCCTCCATTTCATGGAAGGGACCATGATTCTGTCAATCTTGCTGACCTGGGGCTCCTGAAGTTTGGAAGATGTCACCACTGTTGCATTGGAGTGAAAGGAGCAAAGCGAAAGGAAACTGGCTTTGGCTGCAGATCTTGCATGAAACGTTTATGCCGTTCTGGTTGTCATGAAGAATACCACAGGCAGAACAATATCTTCTAAATATTGTCTAGAAGTACATTTTTGAAGAAACTTGTAAGATTTGTATTTTCCTTGCAAATTTCTGGTGTTTTCTGGTAATTTGTTTTGAAAAAGTAAGAAAATTTCCATAATTTATGCAAATGTATGGAATAAATAAGCATAATTTATGTAGAAAACGAGCATATCCTAGTCCATCCGATAGCACATTTTATTAGCTTTATTATGATATGTAATAAGTCATGATTGGTTAAAATCTCGAATTTTAATGATTTTTTTCTTAAAATACTCTTGAAATTTCTATAATTATTCAAAAAATTCTGACAGATTAAGGGTTAAATGCAAAATATATGCAGAATTCTTCAACTCACTGATATTTCCATAATGGCCGTCGAGCGTGACAAGTCTCGGAGAGAGTGTATGCTAATGTGCATGTCAACCCGTGACAGTGTTCCTTTAAGAAAGTAAATAAAAAGAATACCTTAATATGAGTAAAGAAACCCCGTAAGGGCTTATGGATTAATAAAGGTTAATATATATGCTCCCATTCTTTTGATACCAAGAATTGTTAAGTAGTGGTACGATGCGGAGTGAGAAATGGTATGACTTACCTATCCATTCAATATCCAATGATTTATTAAAGATGTGTGTTGTTAATATTGTGGTTGTATTGATGTGTGATCGTTTAATTGCTTGTCTAATGTTTAAGAGTCCTGATTAAGATTTCGACAGCTTTTCCAATGGTCTTCGTGACGCCGAAGACAAACAGTGTTGCAGTCGAAACGTCGCCATTTACAATCGATATTGCCCATAGGTCGCTAAAAAAACGACTAGTTGCCCATCATCTACTTTATTGTTCTTCAAAATTTTTGTGAAGGCAGCAATTGCTTTGATGTTATTATTTTGAAATTGAAAAAGAAGGAAACGCGGCGCTGAATTGATCATTATCATCTGCCTGGCGAGCTACCGATCGTTTACAACTTTCGGGCAACAAACTGTACCGAGCGAGTAAAAAAATACTTAAATGTATTTACGTCCTTTTTGCCTTACCTACGTTGTACTCGAGGTTGTGGAGAAGCCCAAATCACTCATCCAATTTACCGTCATAAACAGAACATAGCACTTTATAGTAAAACTTGCCGTCGCATTATTCAGTACTTTGCAACGACACTTACGCACTTTTTTTATGCTTATTCTAATAAATAGTGCGAGGTTTGTTAATATGAATAGTGACAGCTTTTGTATTGCATGCAACAATTATTACAAACGGTGACAGAACACGCGTGTTCCTAGTTACATCCTTGTTTTCAAAGTAAAACCGACTAATTTGACTCATCAACATTTTTTGAACTCGCAGTTTTAATAAGGCAAATAATTGCAATTTTCTGGTATAAACCTTTTTCCGACTTTAAGAAAAAATCTTACGATGGATAAGAATTGAAACAAAATCGCGAATTGTTTGGCCCATCATTGTCCTCAAAACATTACTGACTTATCGCATGTGTTGCGCTCGAAGTTGGGAAGAAGCAAACATCTGGCTTTTTCTTGAATAAATTTGAAACAGATGAAAGATGACGGACAATCTCGAGCTTCTTTATTTCTTCCTTGTTGGCAAAATAAAACTAACTTCCCTATTTGTCTCTAATCATAAATAGTAGAAAGTACATCCTCTTTCAATGAGCTTACTACGTGTTGTAATCTTACAACAAGCACGAAACCATTCGTTGCGTGTCATTTGCGGGGGATATAGAGGAAGTGACTAAGACAATCTTCATCTTTCATTGGTTAATCACATGTACGCAGAAAGAACGAAGTGAGGTGTTATACAAACATACTTTGGAATTCTTTACCCATTAACAGATGAATATTCAATTTGTTAAGAAAAACACTCGTCTCAGTCACAAGAGTTGCCGTTAAAGCATCTGCATCAAGGCCTCAAACTAAGCTTAAAAAAACAGTGAACTTCAATTCGTTGGCGAAAAACAAGTGTTAGTTCACAACCAGATGCTGTACTCCAAGGACTGATCAATGGCGAACATCAGTTCAGCTGAAGATGTGAATAATACACTTAAAGTACAGCCATCGCTTGTAGGCATGGTTACATTTTTGGCCACCTTAAACATTTTTCTCTCCATCATTACAACATTGGCCAATACTCTTATACTGATTGCCCTTCGTAAAGTGACGTCTATTTATCCACCAACGAAACTCCTCTTTCGTTCTCTGACAATCAGTGATCTTTGTGTTGGCCTAACTGCGCAACCGCTCTTTTGTGTAACTCTTACGGGTAGAATAACAAATGTGGGAAATCATCTATTCTACTACAGCGATCGATTAAATACTACTTCAAGTTATGTTCTGTTTGCAGTCTCTGTCTTGACATCAACTGCCATAAGTGTGGACAGACTACTCGCGTTGTTGTTGAGGCTTAGGTACAGACAGACTGTGACATTAATGCGCGTCCGAATGATTGTAATTGGCATTTGGTTTCTTTGTAGTGCTTTCGGTGTATGGAGGCACAGTAGATGGGGCATAGAAGTTTCTCGGCTCACATTTATTGTTTTTCTTGTGCTGTGTTTGATAATCTCTTCTCTCTCTTACAACAAGATCTATCTTCTCCTGCGCCATCATCAAGTACAAGTACAAGACCACTTTCAACTTTCAAACCAACCAACAATCCCATTGAATGTAGTAAGATACAAAAGGACTGTTTATGGCATAGCTTGGGTACAGTTTACAATGCTTGTTTGTTATCTCCCCTTCAGTTTTGTGTTCCTGCCATTTACGTACGGTGTATTGCCTGAAAGTGCATTGGGGATGGCATTTCTTCGTTTCGCAATTACGATTGTTTACCTCAACTCATCTCTGAACCCGATTCTTTACTGCTGGAGAATTGCAGAGGTGAAGAAAGCAGTAAAAGATACCATCAGATCGCTAAACTGTTTTAATTTCAGCTAGGCCTTCTCTTTTTAAGTATTGACTTGTGAATAGAGAACGGAGAAGCTGTACGAAATGATGACCTTGAAGTCATGATGAAAGCAAGGATGAGCTTATCAGTTCGAGTCCTTAATTTAAGGGTGTGATTTTCCAAATGTTAGTGCTACGTCGTCCCCAATTAGGACAAATGGTGCCCACTGACAGACTTGAGAGTACCTCCTTCTCTCAGTACTTCTTCTCATCCAATTCATCGTTTCATGAAGTGATTCACTGGCGCTTTTCCCACGGACCAGATGGTCATAGAATTGCTTCATGAATTGCAATGTTGCTTTGTCATCCACGGCCCATAGTGAAGCCAACACAGATCGTGCGCCAGATCCTAAAAAGGCTCGAGCGATTCCGACAACTCCTTCGGCCTTAATTTCCCCACGACCACTATGACAACAGCTGAGCACCACAAGCTTAGCTCGAAGCTGGACCTTTGACACATCGCTCATGGTCAGTATGAAATCATCCTTTTCAGGGATTTTATTCGCGCAACGGATAGGTGCCAGACATATCTCATCTCTGAATGCATCACCATGCGCAGCAAAGTGGATTAAACTCACTTCGCTCAACTCCTGCAGCACAGCGTGCTTTGTGGCATGTTTGCCAAGCAAGATTCTTGAGGGCTCAAGTTCTAGTAGCTTGCTAATCATCTCTGCTTCCATTCTGGCACACGGTAGTCCTGATATATGTTTTTCTTCTCCGTTCAACAAAACTTCTCCAACTTCGGGATCGCCGACAATCAGCACACCCCTTTCGCTGTGATAATCCTCTGGGCTGTCGTGGATTAACTTGAGGGTAGTCAAGGATGGAACCACCCTAATCTCATATGTCTCCGACAGATACTTTCCACTCTCGTCCTCCAGAGCTTGAAACGGTACCTTGTGCAACTCTCCCTCTGGAACTACGATGATTTTGGAACCCTCAAGGAGATTTTTAACAGGCGCAATTATTATGTCGTACCACAACCGCAAGGCTGTCTTACATGAACTATCCAGCAGGAACTCCTCATCGTCATCATCATCTTCTTCCACCTCACAAAGGCGTGCGGGATTTTCACGTGGTTGTGGTTGAGAACATTTTTGGCCCGCCTCAAAGGTAAAAAACGATCTGTCTTCACAGGAACTACTTCGTCCAAAATTGTAATGTGCATATGTTGTATTAACCAAGGACTCAAACAATTGGTCAATAGTCACATCTTTAAGACGCTGAGGAATTGCTTCCATAACTTCTCTCGGTACTTTCCTAAATTTTATGCTCTGGTTTGGTTTTATGACCCAAAGGAAAAGCTCGTTCACATGGTAGGCGATGTACAGAATAGTGCAGTCTTCCTTCAATAACAGTGTTTCAATGTCGTTGACTTTCAGTTCTTCGCCCTGGTTAACCCCTTGAATGAAGTATCGCTTTGACATCAAATCTGCGAGTCCTCTAGCACGCCCCAGCTCAGCAGTGTATATAGCTTTGTTGACATTCTCTTCTGATTGACACAAAAAGCAAACGAGCAACTGGTAAGGAAAAATGTTAGCGTCCACAAACGATACTTTGAACTGATCCTCGTCGCCAAGAAAGCCTCTAATACCCTCGTAGATGTTGACACTTTTTAATAAATATTGCAAACCTCTGGAAATGTCTCCGACCCATCCCAGACAGAGGCCTATTTCGGCACAGGCAGTACCTTGCCCTTTCCTGTCTCCTATTTCGTTGCTTATTTGGAAAGCTTTCTCGTGGTTTTTTATTGCCAGGGTATATTCGCCAGTGCTCAGCAATGTGCTTCCAAGGATTAAATGACAATTCATCTTTCCTCTTTTGTTTCCTAATTCTTCAAAAATGTCAAGTGATCTCTGGCCGTACTCTAAAGATTTGCTGAAGTCTCCCTGGTGGCGATACAGATCTGCAAGACTTAAATTTATCTCCCCTTCCTCCCACTTCGTCTTCATTTCTATCGATAGCTCCAGTGCCCTTTCGATAAAAGTTAGAGCCTGGTCATAATCACCAAGTTCGTTAAACACCGTCCCCAAACTATCATACAAGGCCACCTTGGAGAGTTTGTCCTCGACTGTGCGAATAGACTTAAGAGATTCTTCAATATACTTAAAGCTTTCTGCACGCTCTCCCAGAGAATGGTAAATACTTGCAAGGTTACAATATCCTTTAGCGACAGCAGCCGGATGCGCAGTTTCTCTGCTGAGTTGGAGTGATTTTTGTTGATATTCCAGGGCCTTAGAATAATTTGCTAAAGATTCATAAGCTAATGCGATCTTATGGTAGTCGATACTTTCGTTACGCTTGTCTCCAAGTTCTCTCCTGATCTGAAGTGCCTTTTCATGATAGTTTATGGCTTTCAGAAATTCGCCACGAGCGTGAAAGACCACGCCAAGGTTTCCATAGTTTGCACCTTCTCCCCCTCTGTTGTTGAGTTCCAGATTTATTTCAAGGGATCTTTGCAAATGCTCTTCAGCTTCGGAATATTGGCCGAAGGAGTGGTAGGTTAAACTTAAGTTACCAAGGGTAGTGGCCTCTCCGCTCTTATCTCCGATGCGTTGCCTCATTGCAAGTGCCTGCACGAGGCATTCCATAGCTTGCTCATAATTGCCGAGGCGACCGTGGGCGGTTCCCAGACCACTGAGGGAGAGAGCCTCTTGCTTAACATCTCCTGCCTGTCTTGCCAATGTGAGGGCGTTCTCTTGGCATTCCTTAGATCTCGAGTATTCTCCAATGGAGTCGTACAGGACACCTAGGTTAGTCACGAGCCTGTGTTGCTCTTCCTTTCCCCCGATTTCCTGGCTGATCTCAAGAGCTCTCAATTGATAAAATTCTGCCTTCTTAAATTTTCCCACAGATAGGCAAAGTTCTGCAAGTTTGTCAGCGTCATCGCATTCCCCACGTCGGTCTCTTATTCGATGCTTCAATAAGACAGCATTTTCATAGTATTTAATAGCCTGCTCTGGATCACCAAGACGCTTACAAACATCTCCGATGATTTTACAATCTTGTGCCTGCCCTGGAAGTTCAGCAAGTTTTTCGTTGATTTCCAGGGACTTCTTGTGATAGTCTAGCGATTTGGAAAAGTCTCCTAAACATTGAAAGATGGTCCCAAGGTTCCCATTATTAGTACCTTCCTCTCGCTTACTGCCAATCGCTTTGCTGATCTCAAGAGCTTTGGTGGAATAATCGACTGCCTTCATGTACTTCTCGGTCTTGAGATGGGCACTTCCTAGGTTGCCATAATTTGTGCACTCACCCTTTTTATCCCCCAATTCTTGAGCAAGTGCAAGAGCCTTATAATAGCAATCGATGGCACTTTCGAATTCATCGTTGAAGTAATACGCCGTTCCCAATCTACTGTACACTATCAGAATCAATTTCTTGCGCACATCCAAAATTTCTTGCATCGTGGTCATATCACTACTGCTCAACAGCACCAAGCACTCTCGGAACAGTTCGGCGGATTTGACGTAGCTTTTAATGTTGAGAAGAAATATTGCAATAGAGATGCCGATGATTACGGCCTGCAGGACTTCTACACCACTTTCCATGTCTCACGGACTCTTCGCTTGGTTCTGTTTCTGTTAACAGTCACGAAGAAATACTTTTAGCAAGATGAGCTGTACTGAGGTGGCACCTACGGAACATAGAGGCTACCATCAGCGAAAAAATTAGTTCACACATCGTGTTTTAACAGTGCTAAATATGTGCTGGAAAATACAACCTTTCGTACCGCGCCATAAATCATTTATAAAACCCCCCTCCCCCATTCAATGTTGCCTCTATGAAGCTAAGAGTTCCCGGAATCTCGATACAACATCGTTTTGGGGGGGAGAGTATGAATAGGCTAACTTAACAAGGTCAAAAGGTATGAATTGAAAGAAATAGGGGTTTGAAAAGGTCAATGTGTCACTGATTGTAGACTACAAATTGCTTCTTTCACAACATTAGGCTTCGTAGTTCAGTGGGCAGCAGCAACCACAAACTTGATCCTGACGATGGTTGTGAATATATGGAGGTCATATAATTATGTGAACTGCCGTTAAAGAATGAATATGAGAGCGATCTCCACAGTAATGAACACTAGTTAGGCAGTAGTAAGTTGTTGGCTCAGTTGGTAGAGCACTGCAACGGTAAAGCAGCGATCATGGGTTCAAATCCCGTAGAGGCCTGATCTTTTTTTAGGCCTTACTTTCACTACTGCTAAGTAGTGTTCAATACTTCAACGATCGCTTTCATATTCAAACTCAATCCTCCATGGATAATTTCTAAATGGAACAATGCTTTTGGCTCACACTCCAGCTCATTGTGATAATTACTTATTTATGTTATTATTTATTTATTGTTTGGTTTTCTTTTGAATAAATAGTTTTTCAGAACCTAGATCTAGAAACAGCTGACATTGACTTAAGTGGACAAAGAAGGCCAAGGCAACCTCACTGGGAAAGGGTACCTGTATCACTGAGGATCCCTTGTCTTCTTGTTAAGGTCAAGGTGATCATGTCATCTTCCATTTTTATTTTTGAAAATATTTACACAAAAGCAGTTTACGTCAATCAATCTTCAAAATATGACAACTGATGACTAAGAACTTGGAAAATGAATACATTTTAAAGACTTGAGTATCTCCTTCTCTTTTGAGCATGGAATGGTAAAACAGTAGTTCCCTTTTTCCCAGTTTTCTTGAGTGTCATCTTCTATATTAAATAACTGTACAATAACAAAAAGGGCTTCACTATAATCAAAATTGAGAAAGTTCTCAATTACCAAGGGGATACCAAGAAATCGGCAGCCAGAAGGGATACTCATGTCACTGAGGATAAAGGTATCCCTCCTCTTTAAGCTTGGCCGGAAAAGTATACAATAATTATCATCTCCCAGTATGGCTGACTGTGAAATTTTGCTAAAAAAAGCAATACAAAAATTGGTATCACAAAAATCAGAAATTGGACAGTCTGTTATAATTAACCAGGAGAATAAACCATCTACCATTCTGGAAAGAGATACCTATGTCATCAGGGATTTGGGTATCCCATATAAAAATGTACATAAGCATAAAATGCATGTCTGATTGGCTGAAAACAAGTGCATTTTTTGTGAAAAACTAATGCAAAGTTAAAAAATGAGTGGAAATTTAAAAAAGCAAGCATGCTGTCAAAATTTCAGCTGTCTTGACTTTCTGTGATGCTTTTTTTCATATAACTTATCAATAAGTAACAACATGATCATTTGTGCAATTTGGTGTAAATAAGCATTGGCAAATTTTTCAAAGACTACAAATTCCACTTGATGTATGGGCTCATGCAATGAAAAATTGACTTCTGCTTATTATCATCAAATTACACTCAAAATCATGTTATCATGAATAAAAATTCAGTGCTCAGGTAAACAAGCAATTTATACCCTTTAGGCAGACACAAAAATAAATGAATTATTTAACCAGGCCAAAAGGTAATGACAATCACAACCTCAATCCACGCAATAGAAATCAAAGAAAAACAGATTAAGGGATAATCCCCTAGATCACTCCATATCCTTGTTAACCCTTAGTGCAATTTTTCACATAATTTCCTCATTATACCCAAACAATCATGTTGTAAGTAGCATAAATGGAAATATGGTACTTGTAAAACCTGCGTTTTAAAGATGGAGATACCCAAATCCCTAGAGATGTGAGAAATTCTTCCAGTGTATAGCTTTGTTGTTGTCGGAATCCCATAACTTAATGTTTTGAGTAACTCTCGTATCATAAAGTTAATCCACGTCAGAATTTATTTAGTTTTTCTCATTTCAAGTGCCCTTTGCAGTCAAATATGGTCATAATTAGACTAGTTAAACTAAAATGAAAGATCACATCAACAGAAAACCTCATGATCTCAAATACTAAACTGAGCACTTCAAGTTTCTCTGTTGCACTTCCGGTTTCTTGCGAAGTTCTATTTGTGACGATAAGTTAAGACTTCATCTTGCTCTGATCTCGTTCGTTTCAACCCTTCCAGCCTCTGGCTGACTTTCTGATAGGATGTAGTTATCCTTTACTTACTAACGTGCTGTATTTCGGTTTCGTTCAATTGAAAACTAAAATCGACATTTCGGCTTTACTTCGGTCCCTTCAAGACGACCTCTATTTATTTGAAAAAAAAAATTGAGAGAAAAATGATTCAAAGAGCTTTAAGGCAACCACCATAATGATCTAGATCCTAGGAAAAAGTATAAATTTTTATTTAGTTCAGGAATTGGCAGCGGATGCCCGGAAAGAAAGCCGTCACGCTTTGGAAGAGTCGCGAATAACAGATCAGAAGATTGGGCCAAAAATTAAACTCTCTGACTCAACATAAAACTCTCTGATTTCATTGTAAGTTTTCGATTTAAAAATTGATGAATTAGTCATAACGAACACTTACCATTCGAAACGTGGGATTTCAAGGCTGTTTTCTTGCTAGAATAGCACAAAGCACCGTCCTAATTAATAATTAGTGCACAAAGAGTTCACAAAGCACTGTCCTAATTAATAATTATAACACTTCTCCGCAACAGTTTCACTCCCAAGGGTTTGTTGATCATGCGTACTACTTTGTTTTTCTTGAGACGAGACAAAAATAAAATGGCGACTGCCACGCGGAACGACGTGGTGGCAGCAGTCGAACTTGAAATAAGTTGTCCCATTTGTTTAGAGGACTTTGAAGAACCTAAGTGCCTTCCGAACTGCGCTCACAATGTCTGTCAACATTGCCTTGAGGGAATGGTTCGGAAGAAAAAAGATTTCATCGAATGTCCTGAGTGTCGCATCGAGTCCGCTATTCCTGAAGGCGGTATTGCTGCTTTTCCAAAAAATCACCTTCTTGTGCGCTTGATCGAACGCACACCTGGACGGAAGGAGAAAGAAGCCATCAAAGAAGCTCTTAAAACTTGTAAAGTTAAATTAGAGGGTGCCGAGACTGCTCTGAAGGAAATGGAGGATCGCTATGATACTACTAGAAGCAAAGCGCAAGAAATCAAACAGAAGATAAAATCGATCGCCGAAAATGTTATCACAAAAGTACGTGAACACGAAAGCAGAATACTCGATGAAATTGATCAAAAATTAAGTCAGAATCGCAATGAGGTAACCTTTGAAACTCATAAATCCAATGTCACGGAGCTTTGCGAAAATGCCACAAGCTGCATCCAGACTATTGAGGACATAATGCAGAATGGTGAAGTAAGCGACCTGAAAGATCTCAAAGACGCCCTGATCGAAGAGTTAAATGAATTCTCAGAATCTTTGGAATCACGAAAGTTTTGGGCGAATCGTGAGTTTACTCACCCATTTGATGTGTCACTGTCCAATACTGAGTCAGTTGACAAGTTCCTTCGAGATGACTGTTCGCTAGGCAATCTGTCTATAACCATGGCTTCAGACGTAGATCTGGATTCTGCCACAGGGGGTGAAGAGATTCCTGTAGTCTCTGTTTTCTCAGGTGCTTGTTTTGTCACACCTGTTGACGTGAGAAGTATAGACTTTTCAAACTGTGGTACTTTGATTCAGACAGTGGACAACTTAACTTGTGGAGTCCAAAACTTTAACCCCTTCTCAGTAGCAGTGGCCAGGAACTCAGGCCATTTTGTAGCACTGGATGAAGAACTGAAACATGTGCATATCTTCAATGAGGAAGGAGAGCATTTAAAAAGATTTCGCATCATGTATGGTGACTTATGGGACATTGGAGTTTCAGACGACAATGAGATAGTTGTGTTAAATCGGGAAAGCAATCGACTTTTGCATTATGATATGAATGGAAACTTTAAGAAAAAATTTGTGACCCCTCCAAGACAAAATGTGAAGTTTACATCGATATCTGTTGACGTGCATGGACGGTTTGTGATCACCTCAGGTCCATGCTATGAAGAAACGCGAGAGGATACTGAACCATGCATTCTAGTGTACCATCAATCAGGAAAACTGTCTATGGTGTTTGGAGATGAGATTCTTTTATCACCACAAAAAGCAGTATTTCTCAATGGTAAATTTTTTGTGGCTGATTCAGGGATAGAGAGCTTAGTAGTGTTTGACAAGAGTGGAAACTTTGTGAAAGAGATTGCCAAAGGTTGTTTGGAGCATCCATGCAGTGTTGCTGCTGATTATACCCATGGAAATCTTGTGGTTTGTGACCGAGGAAATCCTGCAATATACATTTACAGCCAAACTGGAGAATTTCTTCATTGCCTTCAAATGGAGAATATCCCCTTGCAAGTTGCTTTTACCAAGAACTTTGAAAACCTTATTATTTGCTTTGAGGTTGATTATGGTAAGAATATACAGATGTTGACATATTCATAGAACAGAATATTTAAGAAATCATATCGCTGCTAATATCTACATGTGTATAGTAAGTTATGCTTTCCCACCAATGAGTAATCTAAGAGAAATTTAGCCGGCACAGCAGGCATGGTTTTAATGAGCAAGTGCTCAGTATTTTCTCTATGAAAATTATGGCTGTCATATTTGATTTTAATGGAGGCAAAAGGATGGGGAGAGAAAGAAATTTGTACCAAGGTGAGCAGCAGTGAGAAAATGGCCCGTTGAACAAACGATTGCACACTGCTTAACATTACCTAATAAGATGGCTGCACTGCAAGCGAAAGAAAATTCCTCTCAAGTTATCAGTATATTATTAAGAAGCAGGGTGACAAGAAGAGAGGAAAACACTAATTAGGGATAAATGTTTGATTTAACACTAATTATTTTCTTAGCTAACATTCCAGGGAAAAGTATATCCAACAGAGTGGAGAATTGAGATGTAGATCTTGGGAGTGAAGTCGTTAAAAGTTATAGCTGCTGTGGTTCAGTTCTGTTGATTTAGATCTTTATTCAGCTGGTATCTTTATATTATTATGAGCTGAAACAAAAGAGAAACAATATTAATCTGGGTTTAACACCTTTAAATCAGGAACAAAATTTTACAAAAAATATATGCCTTCCACGTTGATGTTATATAGTTCAACTGAAATGTGTATTTGTTAATATGATATAAAGGAGTATGTGTCAGAGAACACCAGTGAGTGGTGTTGTCTAAATTTTAGCTTCAAATCTTTCCACCTCAGATAATAAAACCTAGAGAATAGGAATTTATGCATTCCAGGTTTTGTTTGTGCAGAGCCATTGTGCCATTGTGCCTTTGTACCTTTAGCTTGACAAACAAGTGAAACTTACTTTTTTTCATCCCATCATCTCCTATGGAGAGTTTTAAGAGTTTCTAATAGTCTAGAATTGCTATTGGCTGATTCTTGAGCAACTATTAAGCTTCTCTGAAATTCAAACAGCACATTTCAACCAGCGGTCGAAAACTGTCGAAACTTCTGGCTGATAAAAAGCTGGTGAAACTGTTGATTATATAAATAGCTATAATTGCAATTTCTATGAAATCATAAATTATTATAAGCTGTTCTTTATATCAATTTGGGAAAATACATTTACATGAGTCAGCAGAAAAGTAACTTAAATCTGTCTATTTCATGTCTATGGTGGGGGGGGGGGGGTGGTGGTGAGATTTGAGATGTTTGCATACTGCTAAAAAGCTCATGGAGCTATATTCAACCTGAACTAATAGTGAGAGAACCCTTTAACTCCCAGAAGTGATTAACATGTAAATTCTCCTTGCATTATCCAATAAACAGGTGATGTAAATACTCAAATTTATTAGGTAGAGGTTGATATCTTGATCTAACACTAAATTATCATTGCTAATTTACAAGGAAATGTGTAGCAGCTACAGGGGAGAATTAGGAGGCAGCGTGGCTGAGTGGTTAGGGTGCTGGACTTGTAATCTGGTGTCCTGGGCTCAAATCGTCCTTTACCCTGCCACTCACTGGATTTGTTCTCAGTTGCCCCTGGTTTAACTCCTCGGCTGCACTCTGTAAATAGCCCATTGGTCTGCCTCCTGCCAGTGGGGATTTTTAAGCACTTAGTCTACATTGTTGCTGCAAAGCCCCTAAGGGAGAGCTTCAATTAATTCTTTTTTTTTTTTTTTTTTAGCAATCAGTAATGTAGAAATGATTTATTGAGAGCCTCAAAAAGAATACTCAAAAGCTGACTGCTACTTTTCAAGAGCCTAAGAAAAAAAAAAATCAAATGTCAAACGATAGTGGAAACGAAGATAATAGAAATGGTGATAACATGTGTGATGTTAATAGTTGCAGAGACCAGGGTAAAGTGTCATAACTAACATAACTAACGTTCATGGTTTTTTTGTCATTTCGGTTGTCTAGAGCCGCGATCACCTAAGACGTAGAGGCTCAAGGCCAGTCTAACCAAAGTGATTAGATTAGTGTTAATAAGATTTCAAACAGTCGGGTCTCTTTAAACTTTCGGCGGGGCACACGCAGAAAATTGAAATATTCCACGCTAGAATCTAACACCAGTAGACTGGCCGTCTCGATGTGCCATTGTTTTTCCCTTTTCGGATCGTCTACGAGTTTTTTCCATGACCTGAATAGCTATTTTAGACCGCAACCCTGTTTTTCTTAGATATTAGAATTCGCATGATGCACGATCCTCGCAGTAAATAGCGCTATTTATGCAATAGCGAAAATCAGACCTGAAAAAAATCAGGCCTGTACGGGATTCGAACCCCTGACCCCTGCGATACTAGTGCAGCGCTCTACCAATTGAGCTAACAAGCCAACTGGGAGCAGGCCGTTAAGTTGAGTATATCAACTGGGGAGCAGGGATGGCGCAGTGGTGAGAGCACTCGCCTCCCACCACTGTGGCCCGGGTTCGATTCCCGGACCTGGCATCTCATGTGGGTTGAGTTTGTTGTTGGTTCTCGTCCTTGCTCCGAGGGTTTTTCTCCGGGTCCTCCGGTTTTCCTCCCTCCGCAAAAACCAACATTCCAAATTCCAATTCGATCTGGAACAGTGGACAAGAATAGCCACCCAGTGGATGTCCATTGCTAAATCATTTATTCATTTATAGCTCAATTGGTAGAGCGCTGCACTAGTATCGCAGAGGTCAGGGGTTCGAATCCCGTACAGGCCTGATTTTTTTCAGGTCTGATTTTCGCTATTGCATAAATAGCGCTATCTACTGCGAGGATCGTGCATCATACGTATCTAATACCGCAGTTCAAAATATATGAACTCCATATAATATATGAAATTCATATATTCATTGTATCTGATATTAGAATTCGTTATTCCGAACTTGTTTCAGCAATTTACCGAAAAATATTCCAATTATGAAGTAAAATTAGCTTGGGGACACAAAGAGCTGCCAAGATATGAAGGTAAGTTATGGATTTCTTTGCGTTAAGATGAAGTGGGAGACTGTGGAGGCGGGGTCTAGTGGAAATCATAATTCTCTTACCTTCTCCTCAAGAGTTCTCTCCCCCCCCCCCCCAAAAAAAAAAAAAAAATCCGTCTTCTTGATGATGGGTGTGCCCTGAATATGAAGATGCCGACTTAGAAGCGACGGCTGGTAGGCACTTGTTTGACAAGGTCGTGATGATTCGTAGGATTATATTAGACCTTTAGAATTCCAATGATCACATGTTACTGTCAGCTTCCGGCAAGCTCAGTCACCTGCTTGCATTATTTTGCAAGAATCGCGTGAATAGTAAAGGCCACGGAACCAAGGTGTTTGATCACACTTGAACAGGTCACCCACGAGAAAGACTTTATCACTTACGGCATTTCCTTTGCCTTGCTAAACAAAACGCCAAAATATTCTCTGGACCTTAAAACTTTCCATTTCATAGTTTTCAAAACGATGGTTGTGATCGCGTGTGTGTTTTAATTTATCGCAAAATTGCCCAATTGCACCTTAAAAAGCAATCGATAAATTTAGATAATAATTGAGAAATGGTGTGACGATTAGGCACCCTACCAAGAAAATGATCAGCCAACGAAGCCACAACACGAACTTACTAAACGTCTCCACATATGACCTGGCCAGAAATAATTTCTGTTACACCTAATCACGTTTCTTACATAAACGTGCGATCAATTAACAAAGTATTTTTTCCTATCAGTTGCGACCTTCCTATGATTATTGTCGAGACGGTGAGAAAAAAAGAGGCGTATAATGATCTGAATTGGCACGAAAAAGACCTGAAAAGGACAACACTTTTATCTCCTTCGTTGACACACCGAGACAATAGTGACAGGTTTGGGAAATATCACTGCGGTTTTGGTCATAAAACAATTAGCAAGTGTAAACAAATGAAAGCGAGACATCGGTGTACCTTACGCCGTGGAGGAAAGATCTGTTGTTTACAAAACGTCGATGACCAATGAAAAGAAAACGAACTTGTGTTATGTGAGAAGTCTGGATTTTTAAATGTAATTGTAGATAATTCCCATGGGTAGCCATAGTCAGTATTATGATATTCATGTTATATTATTCCCAAGTTTACACATAACAGAATCACGTGTCTTTGTCGTGTCAATCATTTGGGCTTTAGTAATCTCGCTGAATTTCATTTCGATTTCATAGTATACTGTGTACATGCATTGCTGCGTTGCCCGAGGGCTTTAGAAAGCGAATTACTTCACACTTTGATTATAAAACAGACGAAACTGGTCGCATGGAGACCTAGCATTTCCGAAGCCATTGGAGCTCAGGTATTTAACGCTTTCGAGAGGAGGGTTAGCTTGCGAATGGCCTCAGTGGATATGAGCTTTCAAGAGTAACCGCTTTTCTTTCTATTTGTTTATTGCAGTACACGTATCCCTGCAGATTTATTGTGTGGAAGGGGGGGAGATTAATTCATTCTTTTTACGTGTTGTCATCATCGTGAGAACAAATGGCCGAAGCAGCTGAACCCGGTAGTGGATTTAACTCGAAAAGCGTTGCGCTCCGAGCGCAGAAGAAAATCCTGGGCAAAATGGCCTCGAAAAGTGTCGCGAAAGCTTTCGTGGATGACACCACAGGCGAACTGCTTGACCAGTTATACAAGCTAGCGAAATTGGAGACAGGAAACAAGAAAGAAGCTGAAAAACTCGTGAAGGACCTGGTGAAAATCGTCGTCAAGATCAGCATACTGTTTCGAAATGACCAACTGAACCGCGAGGAAATTCAAATAGCAGAGAAATTTAGGAGAAACTTTCGATCTTCAGCCATGACTTTTATTAGTTTCTACGAGGTGGATTTCTCTTTCGATAAGAAATTTTTAACCAAGAACTTGGAGGATTGCCGAAGCCTGATTCATCAAATTATCGATCGGCACCTTACAGCGAAATCGCATGGAAGGGTCGATCACGTTTTCAACTACTATGCGAACGGTGACATGTTAGAGCGAGTGTTTCAAGCAAACCGTGATGGACCTTACGGCACTATCCTTAAAAACATTGTAGACAATCTTAATAAGCTTATGGAAGAGGGAAGTGTATAGGATACTTGAGTTTTATTGAGGTTTGGCTTGTATGTAACTGTGCATTTGCTATGTGACGACGACCCCTCTTGTTGCTGAAATAACAATCTTTCCGTTTGGCTGGATATATCCTTTTCAAAATATGCAAGGCGTGTGTTTAACATACACAGCCTTTATTGTCATGATATTTATTTAACCCTAACTTATATTAGGCCTGTAAGCGTTGAAATTTTTGAGGAAGAGCCAAAATTATAATTTGAAACTAGGAAAATTTTGTCGCGACCGCATATGTTTCTAATGTTTACAAGCACCAGCTGGCCGACCTTGCTGTTCAAATTACGTAGATTTCTACGATTTCGAATTTCGTGAATTTCGCAAGGCGGAGGTTTGTCGTTGATGCAAGCTCTATTTTTGGATAACTCGCTTAAACCGAAGTTTCCCTCGCGAACAGTAAAATGTTTTTAAGTGTTGGCGGTCGTTTTTTGATTTAATTATTAAAATTTTGAGACTTGTTATAATTATAGCAAGCGTAGATTTTCAGATTTCCTTAGATATTCTTATCAGCATAACTATTTGAAAAAAATTCACTCCCTATGTTTTTAATATCTTAAACTTAAATCTTTTTCAGTGGCCAATCTCATGATTCTCTCAAAGGAGATTAAAGCCGACATTTCGTGCAATTTAACTCTCCCATTAAGCCCACCTCCGTTTTGAAAGCCATTTAGCTTTGAATTACTACTTTTATTTGAGAAATTATTTCTCACATGAAATCTTTAAACTGCAAGTGCTTAAAGAAAGATTTCTCGGATTAACCCTTTAAAATATCCCCTTAAGAGTTGTTTAGTATAGTTACTGTAGTGTAATGATTAAGGTACTAACTATTAAGATCGTAAAAGTTTGCCATATGTCTTCAAGTCGATTTTAGGTAATAACATTCAAAAGAAAAATTCCGAAATCCTTTTGTTTTATCTCTAATCAAGCAAGCTGTTGATTTTCAAAAGGAAGAAAAAATATATTTTGTCTTTAATTTCATTTCTCAACAAATTAAAATGTATGTACAGTATTAGACTGACTTTAAAGAGGTTGATTTTAGATGTCTGTGAAAGGATCAGAGATAATATATTTAATGACTTTGGTTGTAAGTAATGGCTGTTGGTAGATCTGTAGTTATGAGTTGAACATGATTAAAATAATTCTCTAATGGAATATATTCAGAGCCTATGATCTTTTTTTTTCTCCCCTATCTCAGCTAAATGTTCTGTAAAATTAATTTTGAATTTAATTAGCTACCTTTCATTTTGAGTGATTGAAATTCTAACAGTTTATTTCAGAAGTAAGACAACTTGTCATTAAAATGACAAAATGAGAGACATTTGCACAGACCAATCTTGGTTTTATGAAATGTGTGACAATTCCTGGTGTTTTTTTTTTTTTTATGTTAATGCTGGTATTCAGCTTTAATTATATATTTTAATGGTTGTTCTTAGCCTGGTCCATTGAACAATTGTACACTTGGATATGGACAAGAAGTGAGATTTGGTGGAACTCTTTCCAATAATGTACATGTCATTTCAAGTTATATAGTGTAACAAAGAGTGAAGATTCAATGAGACTACTGTAGTGTGGTGTCTGATGCGCGATCAGCAACGAACAGTGGACAGACAATGCCATTTTATTACTGGCTGTAGATGTTCTTTCGATATCATCTGCAGAGAGTATTTTTGGCGACTTTCCACCATCTAGCAAACTATAGTAGGTGTAACTTCTACCTGCTTTATGTACATGAAATCTTTTAACAAAGATTTTAATCCATTGAGATTCGAGGGGAAGTTAATTGAAATATCATCCTTTAATCATTTGGTCAAAACAGAGAATAAGGATGTAGAAATTTTACAAAATTGAAATAGAATCCTTCTCAGGTAAGGAATAAGACAGGTGAAAGATATGACAAGCAAAATGAAAAAAGAATCACTTTTAGTGGGATCTCAAGGAAATGTGTTGATCTCATTTGAATTCCTTCTAAGCAGGTTTAATCCTTTTGATCATGTCAGCATTGACTGCCTGTTGTCTTTAAAAAGCATTGCAAATAATATGTTGCAACTCCATTATATCATTGGCAGTGTAATTAAGTGTCTGACACCTTATTTCAGGCAAAGTCTTTGACATTACATTGAAATTTGAAGAAGTTTTCATCTCAGGTAAGGAATAAGACAGTTGAAAGATATGACAAGCAAAATGAAAAAAGAATCACTATTAGTAAGATCTCATTAAGGAAATGTGGTGATCTTATTTAAATTCCTTCTAAGCAGGTTTAATCCTTTTAATCATGTCAACATTGACTTCCTGTTGTCTTCAAAAAGCATTGCAAATAATATGTAGCAACTTCATTGTATCATTGACAGTGCAATTAAGTGTCTTTGACACCTTATTTCAGACAAAGTCTTTGACATCACATCGGAATTGGAGGGAGCTTTCAACAAGATAATCAAGCCTAGAAAAAATAACACTTGATTTTCATGGTTTTGCTGACTCTTTGACCCCCTAAGTAGCATCTAATTTCTCCACACAGTATCATCCCAAAATAACTCATTAAGGTTACAAGAATAATGAAAATGATCACCAACTTAACAAGCTCTTGATTGTTAAGCAAATTCTCCTTGCCAGCACCTTAAGAAATGCTTATATAGAACAGTATGAAGAATATGCAAACTGATGTTAGGCTATAAAAGGGCAAAGCCTGGCTGTCAATTCTCCTTTCATCAAGATTGAAGCACAGGTTCAGTTTACACCCGTTAACTGGCTATCACACCAATAAATGAAAACCATTAGCATAAGGATTATAGCCAGCCAATTTACTCTGCATTTATATACCACATGCATGCCACATATCATACCATCCTTAGGCCATGCATGCCCCACAGAAATTGATGTACACCCTCTTCCCACTTTCTTGTAACTCTCAAATATCAGATTTGTTGTGGGAGTGCCAGGTTTTTTTCACAGAGGATCCTTTAATATCACGGGATAGCCAAATATTTGCAAAGATATTGAAATAATTTAGTAGGCATTCTGGCAAGTTGATACAACCTTTTCTTCAGTGCCATTTTTGGTAAGATCAGCTTTGCTGAAAGTATTTTTCTCTACATGAACATTAATTCTCTCAATTTTGTACAAGTATTTCTCATTCAACACATCCCTTTGGTGAAGCATGCAACTATGTATATGCTAAAGAAAAGTTTTCTGCTTGACTGGTTATCAATTAGTGGATTATTAGTTGATCCAATTCCAAAGTCTTAGAACTAACATCATAAGAATCGTATGACCGACAGTAAGGAGAATTACTAATGAGATCTTGAGAAAGGGTTTAAGTGTCTAATCTGTAAAAGCTACCTGTAATAAATACACGACTTCTGATGAAAATAAATTATTTCTATAGAACAAAGAATGTTCAAAACAACTTTTGTTCTTCTGCACAGCACTCACCTGATTACGATGACTGGTATGTGCAATTCCGTCTGGCGACATTCTTGTGACAAAGCTGGCGCTACACCAGCAGCTCAATCTGTTATTTTGAAAGTCTAGCAGCAGTTCAATCAATTGTTCTTGAAGTCTAGGTAATTATTGAACGTACAGTCAACCTTGAATGATCCATTCAGATTTACCAAGTGATAAAAAACAATGTTAGTCTACCTTTACTAAGCAGTTAATTATCCTCAGTCACTTCAAGTCACTAGGACTTCAATATAAGAATGAGTAAGTTCGTATAAGCTATGTTAAACGATTAACTGGGTGAAGGGATTAAGGAACTTCTCTCCCCCTTTCACACGACCTCGTCCGTCCCTCAGGCCTGAGCTTATGAAATACCCTTTTAATTTGCTTAATTCCTTAATTTAATAACGGTAGAAGGAATCATACCGAAAGGAATCAAAGATCGCGCACAATGAAAATCTCGTGAGGCCTGTCTACATTTCATTGAGGAAGACTATTTCCCGCGTTTTTTTGTCATGTGTTTATTTACCGCGAGATACTCGGTCCTACGAAGTTAAATATGGTAATGATAGCCTTATATGGTAATTTCTACCAAGACCATCTGCGCCTCGCGAAAAGAATACAAATACAAATATACTGAAGTCATGTAAGCTTACAGTGTTTCATCTCAGCTGGGATTTGGATAAAAAGGATACGCTTGTAGTCGTTTAGTCATACGGGATCTTATCTGTGACTTTTGGGCCAAGTTTCGGTATTCGTGATCGTTCAAGATGCCGAAAAGAGAGTCAAAGGCGAAGGTAAAGAAACATGAAGTCGGAGAGCTTTCGCTGTTGGTCAATGGTATGAGCTTTTCATCTCTGGATGTCGGATCCATCAGGGATGCAATTCAGAAACTTGACGCCCGATTAGAAGAAAATACAACAAGGTAAGATTTCGAGAGGATTGATTCCTCGGTAGGCGGTTTTCACGCAGTGCAGATGTGTTCCCTTATCGTATTCTTGATTATATATGCTTGAAATCAGATTAAACAAATTTATTTGTATTATCCGTCGACTTGCTTGTTGTCAAAACTTTAGTCGTTCCAATGACTCACAATGAAAACATCTAGGAAATAGTCATAGAGGAAAAAGCTACTGTCTGGCTTCATAGGCATTTTTCCCGAAAGCCACGCTCTTTAGCTTCTCAAAGAAATATGGTACCTGAAGAACGTAGAACAGATCGAATGAAATAATTTAAGCCATTGAAATTTAGCTGGAGAATTCTCAGATCCCTATTACTTGATGAACCCCTTTAATGTGCACCTTTGTGTCCAGATCTAGTGTATTGTTGATGAGAATTGAGAATGAAGAAAGAAGTTCTCCTTCTTTTGACAGCTTGCAAGAAAGCTGGGGCCAGTTTGTGGATGTCTGCAACACTATTGCAAAGGAAAAAACTCGGAATCCACTTGCATGGTTGAGTTCCAAAGACGCTGTGGATCTTTTAGCATCTTCCAATGTTATACAGACCAGTTCTTGTCCCTATGAACCCATAGCACTCAACTGTTTCTTGAACAACGTGGTGAGTTTTAAGAGGTGGTGTTTCATTATGCAAATGCACAGTTCTTCCTTTATTCTGTTTGGTCAATTATTGAGATGTGAATGAAAAAAAATGCTCAATGATTTTAATCATCTTTTTTTCTCTGTTCTCGTTAATGAACAGTCAGCTTAATATATTGCCGGTTTTCACTGTCACGCTGTCATCAAAGCCATTGAACTAATAAAGTCAAGAATTAAAGAGATAAAGAAGATGAATATTCAAATAGTCTTACAAAGGTTCAGGTCTGTGCGATGTTTCTTGTGGGAGATATTAAAAAAAAAAATGTTTCACTCAAATTTTTGTATAGAGAGGCCATGTTTGTGTCTCTCTGAGGGGTACAAATATAGCAGCCTGAGGCTGAAAAAAAAAACATATGTCATCAAGTTTTGCTATAGAAAGCCTGTAGTCATCTTCTGAGGGCTCATAAACTTCCACATTGCATATGAGTACTTATTCTCATACAAGGACTGTTCAGAGTGCAAAATCTCAGCAGATAAGTCACTTTTTTAACCTATGTGACAGCATTCTTGGCAGCCATTTCAATATTGTGTCACAGGAAAGACAAAAAATCCTATCGAACTGAAAGTTTGTTCAAAGATAAGTCTTCAGCTGTTATAATAACTTACTAAAATCTCAAATGGATTGGTAATTCCTTACCTTTTAATTTTGATGAAATCATTTGAAAACCAAGAATACAATTCAAATCTCTCTTCAGCTGACAACATTTAGTCAGACTGCTTTCAATTCTGCCTGGTTATGTTAACTATTTTGGTTATGTTGAATATATATATACACACACACACACACATGTACCCTTACCTTTGTTGTGATGATCTTATCTTTACCTTTTGTTTATGTAGATTCAAGCCTTGGAGAGAAATCCAGGCAAAGAAGAGTCCATATTTGAAGATCTAGTCCAGTTTGCCTCCCAACAAGGCATTTTAATGCCATTTGGTGCGCCAGACAAGAATGGAGATGGTGCAGAAACATCTGAGATCCCTCTGAACACTATTGTCATAGAAGATGAACAAGCCACTGATGTGTTGTGGGAAGCTATAAGAAGAAAAATTTGCAAAGGAATGTGGACACTTTTAGCAAATCTTCCCCTCTCAAACCAGCACAATGAACCAAACTGTAATCAGCAAACTAGAATTAAACTTTTAGCTGACTTGTGTTTTCTATACCCAGCTGAGGACATCTGGAAAGGATATAAGAATTATAGGAGAAAGCTGTTGGATCAATACATCACAAGTGAAGCCCTTTTAGAGGGAGTAGAAACAGACTTCAAAATGTCATCTGAGACACCCAGTGATGTAAGGATGTTTGTCAAGTTATGTAAAGCTGCTGAAATAATGATTTATGAGGATGTAATGATCGTGCAAGAAGGAATTTTCTCCACAACAGCACCCAGTTTTGAGTTTATACATGAGGCATATTTATTGAGAATAACTCAAGAATTGCATTCTGTGTGTCAAGCAGTGGACAATAAGGAAAAGGGAGAGCAAGGAATTTTAAACGAACCAGGACAAGCATCCAGTCACAGAAGAGGTTCAAATGTCTCATGTGGAGGAAGGAGGGGCTCTAGTTTATCACCTGTGAAAAAGATTGATTCTAGAGATATTCTTTTAGCCCATAAACATTGTTTCATGGCAGTAATTCATTTGGAAGGACTTGTCAATACAGTAACAAGCCAAAAAACAGATGGAGAAGGAGGAGCAGGTAAGCAGTTCTATTATTTTGGTACTCAAAGTATCTTGGGCAAGTGAGCAAAAATCATGCCAAACCGTGTATTGACTTGTTGGATTAAATGTTCTGAATATAACTACTTGAATCTGATTGCCCTTAATTGTTTTTGCTCATTAAAATGGAATCTCTAAATCGTTTAATATCCAGTGGATATTTGACTTTGATATTAAAAACTGGATTATTGGATTATGCAATTCAAGAGTTTTCACTGGCTAATAGCCATCTGGGTTAAAAACTATTATACTAAGTGTGTGCATGAAGACAAGTTAAAACTGAAAGTGTTTTTGTACATTGTAACATTCCACTTCTCCTTAAAATAAAGTTGGGAGGATTTACAGTGCAGTTTTTAATGAGTAGTTTTTAGATAAGCTTTTCAAGATAAAAATTAGTGATAATAATTTTGAATGACATTTCGACCTCGCTGAGGTCATTTTCAAGCTGATGAAAAGGAAAATTTTTACATGTGTACTAAATTCAAGATGTGGGAATGATAAAGGCGATAAAATATGGAAATATGTAAATGCTAGGCGTAAAATAGAAGTGATAAAATTGCAAAGGAGACAATACGAATAAATTAATATGAGAGTTGACGAAAGTAAATTATTATAAGAAAAGCTTTGTGCGGATTGAGTCTGACTGTGTGTTCAAGCTTGGCTTAATTTCTTCTATAAAAAGCATCTCGTAAATTAGGCAGTCCAGTTTACTTTTGCATTTCTTCAGGATTTTGAAACTGTGATGCAGTTGTAAAGAGATGCACTTGCAAAGAGATGCACTTGCAAAGAGATCCAAGTAGCGTTTGAAAAGGCTTTCTGGAAATTAGAACTGAAGTTGAGCAAAGTCAACAAAGAACTAGCAGCTGCTTCRTTAAGGTCTATTGCTTTGAACTACACCGAATGTAAGATCCCTACACCACCAAGATCAATACTAAGAGCAATCGGCCAGTTGAAGAAGTGAACTGACATTGTTATCACGAAGCCCGATAAAGGATGAGGAGTGGTCGTAATGGACAAATCTGATTATGTGCGTCTCCTCAAGGAATCATCAATCAATGATGACAGCAAGTTTAGACTTCTAAGTACCAAAAGACCAAAAATGAGGGGGCGACCACCAAAGCACTATCATCCGTTATTACAGAAAGAAAAAGAATTAGCCACCGCCGTACAAAGAATATTACCCAAAGAAATCGCCCAACAAGTCATTCAAAAAGGTTCAAGGCTTGCTCACCTATATGGCTTACCAAAAACCCATAAGCGCCGGTTAGCAATGCGCCCCTTCTTATGGGCAACAGGGACATATAATTTCAAGTTAGCAAAGTGGCTGGATGAAAAACTCAAACCACTATCAACCAACAGTCACTCAATCAGTGAAATTTTTGAGTTTGTGGATGCTCTCCATGATATGGAAGTAGATGATCGTTGTGTCCTTGTTTCATACAATGTAACTTCGCTCTTTACCAACGTTCCTGTCGGCGATACAATAGCTATCCTTGCTGAAAAAGGGTTTCAGGACGACTGGTTCAATAAAGAACATAATCTCAGCATCACAAAAGAAGAGCTGGTAGAGCTGTTGAATATTGCCACAAAGCACCAGTTATTCCAGTTCGAGGGCAAACTGTACGAACAAATTGATGGCGTTGCCGTGGGATCGCCACTTGGGCCCCTTATGGCCAATGCATTCATGTGCAGTATTGAAGATCGACTCGAGGAACAAGGCAAAATGCCTGAATTCTACAAATGGTACGTAGATGACACACTAAGCATAATGGCAGACACCGAAACAGCTGAAAAGTTCCTAGCCACACTGAACGAAAGTCATCCTTTGGTCAGTTTCACCATGAAACTGGCCGTGAATGGCAAATTGTCTTTTCTGGGAACTGAAATCATGCAACGAAGTTGCCGGCTGGAAACGAAGGTGAACAAGAAGCCATCTGTTACTGGTCTGTTATTGCATTATCAGAGTTATGTCAACGTAAGATATAAACAATTATTCCTTAAAACAATGCTAAAACCTGCCTTTAAGTTGTCATCTAACTGGCAATTTTTTCACCAAGAGTGCAAACGTCTCACCGAAACCTTCTCCTTACTCTAGTACCCAACTCAACTACTGCATTTGACCATTAATGATTTCATCATGAAAAAAGTGTCTGGGGATCCAGGGATCAATCAAACGTCTGACGAGAAAAAAACACCCGTGCGAATTATACTTCCTTTTAAGGACCAAACGTCAGCAAATTCCGTACGAAGGCAACTTGGCGACCTAAGCCGAAAAATTGGAACTGACATTTCTTCTGTGTACACTAACAGAAAGATCGGATATGAGTTAAAACCAACTGAAAAGAAGCCCAACATCATCAATCAGCAGCGCATTGTGTATTATTTTAAGTGTGGTCTGTGAAATTAAGCCAAGCTTGAACAAACTGTCAGACTCAATCTGCGCAAAGCTATTTTTATAATAATTTACTTTCGTCAACTCTCATATTAATCTATTCGTGTTGTCTCCTTTGCAATTTTATCACTTCTATTTTACGCCTAGCGTTTACAGATTTCTATATTTTACCGCCTTTATCATTCCCACGTCTTGAATTTAGTACATATATGTAAAAATTTTCCTTTTCATCAGCTTGAAAATGACCTCAGCGAGGTCGAAACGTCATTCAAAATTATTATCACTAATTTTTATCTTGAATAGTTTTTAATGAAACAATTATTCCACCAAAGCTTGTTGGATATATACAGGATATTACATGGCCGCGCAGGGATAAGAATTTTATCTTTGAGTGTTGAAAGTATCTCTCACTCGATCGCTGCGCTGAATCGTGGGAGATACTTTCAGCACGAGAAGATAAAATTCGTATCCCCAAGCAGCCATGTAATGTTCTGTTTATTATATACTTAGATACTGATGAAATTTCCACATAAAAGACATTTTTTTTTATTCATTTTTGAAACAGCAATTGGGTAATTATGTTGGTAACCATGGCCACACCAATATCCTCACATGTGAAAGATAAAAATAGTATCTTCACTATGCGCGGTGAAGATATGATTTTTTAGTAAAAGGAGGAATCCTGGTATTTCATCAGTATCTATATAATAAAAGGTGATAATGGCTATCAAGGCCCATCTATCTTCTCATACTCAATGCTAGCTTGTGGAATAAGTTTTAAGTACACATGTACATGAAGATGACTTTTCAAAATGTAAGAGAAAAGCCATGTTCCCTTTATCTTCAAGCTGCACTGTATTTGTATTTGTGTATTTATACTACAAATAAGTTTTCTTTGGCTAGAAAGTAATTAATGATTAAAGAATTTTAACAAATTCATTAAAAAAACAGCCTACAGACAGATCTCCTTTTTAAAGAGAAAGATTCAGTGTGCACACTACTTGTATTGAGTTGTCTCCCTGTCTAAAAAAAAAAACTTTTTTTACACTAACTGAAATGTTGTCATTTTGGCCATCTAGGAATTGGTGGGGCTAGTCTGCAGAATGCTGCAAGGTCACCCTCTAGTCCAGTTCTAAGCCACAGGAATCCCAGTCGACAGAGTTCTAAAAAGAACTCTGATATGCCATTATATGTAGCAGAGGGAAACTTGCCTTTACCATTTGGTAAGTGCTGGATTGAGAAGGCATTGTTCAACTTCTAAATACTTTGATTATTATTTGCTCTTAGGCAAGACACTTTAAGAGTACTCCCTTCTACAGTGCCTCTATCAACTTGGGTGTCATTGTAATTTAGCATTGCAGACATCATTGAACTTAACAAGAGAATTTTAAAGTAACTGTTATGTGTAGAAGAATTACCGATCAGTTCTGGAGAGCTGGAGGAGTATGTGATGACTTGATGAGTAGGTGCTAGTACAAGTATCTATTGACCAGTTTATAATTCTGTACTCCTACTCACATCATGCCATAGAAAACAAGATAAACGCTACACCTTAGTTGCCTGCAGGTAAACTAAGTGTAGTTAGAAGCGGAAGTCTGTGCACTTGGTATTCTTTTTCAAGAAACACCAGTTCCCTCTTCTTCTGAATTCATTTTTCTCACCAAAACCTCAGTTATCTCCTCGTTATCCACCATTCCATTGCTTTCACTCAGACCAATACATGTAAGTGGAAGGTAGCCTTCACAAAAAAATGTCTTTTAGAACAGACTTCCATTCAAGAGATTATCTAAAACCTGTGCAAGTAACTGTTACTGTAACAGAAATGACATGCCACAAGGCCTAAACAAAGAGCCTTCTTCTCTCTCTTTTTCATCTCTTGCCTGTATCCTTGTGAAAATCTGAATATAAATTTCTCATTTGATTGAATTGGTATTGGTGCTCAGTAAGTGATGACATTCATTACCAATATAATTTGGATATATCAACAAAGTTGAAATGGTAAATTGGCCACCGTAACGATTACAAAAGCTGACGTTTGGAGCGTTAGCCCTTTGTCGGAGCAACGAAGGGCTAACGACGAAGGGCTAACGCTCGAAACGTCAGCTTTTGTAATCGTTACAGTGGCCAATTTACCATTTCAACTTTGTTGATATATCCAAATTATTTCGTTACTCCCACCGACGCAGCCCCAAACAGTTTCTTTCGAAACTATCAGCCTTTATTCATTACCAATGATTATTTTGTATTCAGGCTCTGGCAGTAGTAGACTTGACTCTCCCCTCAGTAGCCTGTCAACTTCAAACCCAGACTCTCAGTGGCCATGGAGAGAGGAATTCAAGAGTCAGTTATCTAAGATATCAGTGGCTTTGAGTGAGAGCATCAAACGCACTGGTGAAAAGGCTCTGGAGGAAGGCATGCAGAGGTACAAATCTACTAAAAGAATTCCTACAGTCAGGCTTAAAGGTTAGAAAATAATTGTTGTGACACTCATGACATTGTCTATTCAGTAATTGCTATTTTATTTTTTACAGTGCTTTTTGTACAAGTCAGGTAGAATATATTGTTAAATAATGCAGCAACACTGCATGGAGTTACATGTTAGTGGCATGCAGGTATTTGGGGCAAAGATATACATTGAGTGCAACTGAGTGCCAACCTTCTTTTTTCCCAATTTCTTTTGCTTTTTTATTAATTTTGCTTTTAACTTGTTAACTTCAGTCAACAGTATTTGACGCAAAGGTGGTAGTTTCTTGTACTCAGATTCTTTGTCTGGTAACACAACTGAAGTGTATGTTTTTTGTTTGTTTCTGTTAATTAGATGATATCATTGGTGGTAAAAAGGACTATCCTAGGAGAATTGCCAAGGTGTGTTGATTTTTCAAAGTGAATTATGACGGTAAAATATGATTTATTGTTAATCAATAAAAAGTCAATTTTGTGTCATGGTTTGATGAAAATTTAGTGTTGTGCAGCCATTATGGAAGAAGCTGATGAGGTTCTGCCATTAGCCAGTAGTCAAGGAGGGAAACTTTTCCATGTTGTCAGATCATCTTTTGTGGATTCTTTTGAAGCTTGTCTGAAGACTTACCATGCAAGACTAACACAGGTATGAAGCTGTCAAAACTAATGACCACACAGGTGTTTCCAGTTTTGACTTTTCATCACCTGGAGCACCTTGAAGTTAGTTTATCTTTATTTTAGTTTAAACCTTTAACTTCCTGGGTCTGAAGTTAAATTTACTCAAGTGATCTGAATACATTTCTTCCTTGAGTGGTCGATAATTTGGCTTTATAAGCAGTGTACATCCAAACAGTATCATTTAGTTGGTGAAGTTCTTTATTCACATTACCTTTCCCTTTTCTCAAGCATAATGCGATTGTTTTGAGAATTGATGTCAGTACCCTTCTTAGTCTTAGAAGGAGATTTTGTAATTAACTCTTCATTAAATGAATTCCACAAACTTGGATTGCATTATTGTGACCAGTGGGAAAGCATGTAACACTGTTCCATGCAAATATGTATTAGGCAAGATAGTATTTTTTTTCCTCGAGTATAATTACTGCAAGTAAATTAAAAAGTGCCCCCATTGTGAGGAAAGACTGAATCCATGAGAAGAAATGCTCAGCTTGTGTCAAAGCAGATGAGATGGTGATTAACTTTTAAACAATGCTGCAGGGGTTTCATTAACGTTTTCAGCAGGAGGGTAACTGGCTTTCATAGGCGGGCAAAACCTTTTTGAACTGAACTTCGAAACTTTCTCCAGATTGTCAAACCAGGTGGGCAAAACCGTCCTCGCGACCGGTCAATTTCCCCGCTGCCCTGCCCTTAATGAAACCCCTGATGCTGTTTCTTTTGCTCAGTGATTTTAATTTTGTAGCGCTGTTTTTGTTTTCAGCTTCTGTCTGACTTTCCCAAAGTGTGTGATGTGGAGTGCTTGTACATTGTTCTTAGTAGTGCTGTTTTCATCAGGAATCATCTGCTTCACTATGATGATGTCTTAGGCTCTGAACCAAGGTACAAGGAGTTGTTGAATAAATTTTATGTATTAGTAAAAAAATAGAATGTAGAACAATCTTTACATTTGTTGTAGTGTTGTGATGCAGTTACTTATGACTGAACTAGTACACTTGAATGGTTGAATGATGCCATTATCGGCTCAATTGACAAAAAACTTATTGGTCTGTAATTTATCTCATTGACATTTAGACGCCCTTTTCCTGTGTTACATCGACAATTCAGTGATCTTGTGGATAGTGTTAGTGATCAGATCATCAGTTACCATGACAATGTGATTTCTACTGTCGTTCTACAAGATGCTCGCAGTAATAACTGGTCTGATGCTAGACCTTTTTTTGAGGTGATTATGATAATTATTCCTTTTATCACGGTCACTATTGTGGTGTGTTTTATTAATACTGCTTGCTTTTCAGACACTGATTTGAAATTAGCAGTGTTTTCCCCTTTCCAGGCAAAAGTGCACATGTAATTTGATTCATATTTTAGTGGTGTTAATCGAACGTGGTTGAAAACGTTTTGGCCAGTGATTTCTTTGTGGGACTATGGATCAAAAAGTACAGGCTTGAGCCCTCAGGCCAGGGTAACTTTGTGGTGTTCAGGGGAAAAATTCTTAATTTTCTGAGGGCTTTCCTCCATCCAGGAAACTGTCTGAAAAAACACGTCAAAATGGTGGGTTAGTGTGGGTTAGGTAGCCTTGAATGAAGTGGCATCCCATCCATGGGGGAGTTAGTTATACTTGTGGTCACCTGGTGCTGTGGTAACCGTGATAAGGTCTTACTAGTGGTGTGACCCACATGGCCTAAGTGAAATATATAAGAAAGGAACTAAATGTAGCAATGAGCTAATAGGGTGCTGATAAGATCTCTGACGAAGTTTCATTCCTTCAGAATGGCATTCCAAGAAGCTAGAACAGTGTTGTAATTATCACTTTGTCACTAATACTGCTGTATGAATTGCTCTGCAGGATCAAAGGTGTTCCTTTCCTGTTCAGATGTGGAACTTCCATCTACAAGGGTTGCAGGATGACCTTTGGAATTACTGCCCTCCTGAAAAAGCTCAGCAAATGTTTACCTCTATTCTTCATAGTTCTTTAGTTACCTTGGTTACAAGATACAGCCGTGTTTGTCCTACACACAGACGTGTGAAACAGCTCAGGTACATGACTAGATTTAAGCAGTCAAGAATAATTTTAAAAAATTGACTTTGGTGACCAAACACAAACTGTGTTTGTCCTACAAACAAATGTGTGAAACAATTCAGGTACTCATAGAAACACAAGCAGAATAATTTTGAAAACAACATTGATTTATGATAATTAACTTTTCAAAAGTCACATAGAGGATTCCCACTAATCCCTATTGTGTTCATACATACATACATACCTACCTACTTACCTACCTACCTACATACCTACCTACCTACCTACCTACCTACTTACTTACATACATACAAACAAACAAACAAACAAACAAACATACATACATACATACGTATGATGCACGATCCTCGCAGTAGAGAGCGCTATTTATGCAGTAGCGAAAATCAGACCTGAAAATAATCAGGCCTGTACGGGATTCGAACCACTGACCTCTGCGATACTAGTGCAGCGCTCTACCAATTGAGCTAAAATTTGATTCAAACCAGCGACTGTTTTGTAGTTTTTACACTGCAGACAGGTGTAGAAGTTTTTTTTTTTTAATTTAAATAAGCATCTAGAAAGAATACCATAATTTTGGTTTAAACCAGCGACCGTTTTGTAGTTTTTACACTGCAGACAGGTGTAGAAGTTTTTTTTTTTATTTAAATAAGCATCTAGAAAGAATACCATAACATTATTTGAAACTCTATTTTGTATGTACGTACGTTTTCTTTGATTATTGTTGTATTGTTTTTGTTTATGATCATGATAATTTTTTGGAAAAGGGATTTTAAATTTTGTACCGGATACATGTGCTTGCTATCGCAAGTTCTTGGCTTGATTTGCTTTTACCAACCTTGGTGGTTATTACTCTTGCTATGTCATAAATGAATAAATACTAACGATATTTTACACATTTGTTTCAGATCAGACATCACCGCCCTGTTATTGTCCACATTGTCTTTTTTGTGGTCGTGTTGCAAGTCAGTTCCAAGTTTATTAGATCCTCAGTGTACTGTGGCTCCATTTCCAACGATTCACAGCCTTTGCTCGTGTCTGTTAACTACACTGGTAGGATCAGAACTTTTGTATTTAATTTTTAGCCTCATTATTACTAGTTTACGTTTCAAACTAATGTTAATTGCCGGACTTACTTCAAAATGATTTGTCCTGTGTTCATAGCCTTTGCTCAAGTCTATGTCTGACCATGCTGATAAGATCAGCACTCTATATTGACTTTTTATTATTCAACTCACGTTTCAAACGATTAAAAATTACTTCAAAGTACAGTGTCCTGGGTTCGATTCCTCATAGAATCGATCCCAGGCCACAACGGCAGGACTGGGGCACACCAAGTTCCATCCCAGCTTCTGATCTCGATATCCTCGTCATAAGAATTCTCGCTCACGCTCTCCGTTTTGGTATACATGAGGTCAGTAGAGTTGATTTAGTTAGGAAAGCCCACAAATTTCTTCGTTAACTGATTTTGTTAATAGTTCTGACTATGCACATCGTTTGATTCCAATTGCGTTTTTTGAACCAGTTGACGAAAGGAAACATGCTATTAATTTCCTTAGTCGAAAAAGTGTGATCCCCCAACAAAATATTTTGCTCGTTCAAGAAACAGCACCACTGTTTTTCACTGTTTTTCCTGTCTGTCGGTTTTCACAGCCAGTTATTGCTACAACTAACTATGGTGTTGGTTTGTGTTAATAAAGGCTGTTGTCGGTTCTCCTCTGGACTCCCTTTGTTCTTATGTCATGCAAAGATCAGGATCCAAAGAGACTGCAGACTCCAAGACAGCTTGGTTGTCATGGATATTTCCTGAAGTTTTCAAAAGTCACGAGGGAAGGTGAGAAATGGTTCCAACTTCCTAGTGGCCCATCCAGCCAGCTTTTCCTGGTTTCTTAACATGAAGCTACAAGGAATATTACAACTCCCCCCCTATAGAGATACCAGCCTTTCTCTTTTGCCCACCCTTCCCCTCCCCTTGCTTTTGACCATCGTTCACCCCCCCTCCTTGGTACAAATTTGCTTCTCTCCCCAGCCTTCCAATGCCGTTAAAATCAAAGATGGAAGCTATAATTTTTGCCGAGTAAAATACTGAACACTTTCTGGTAAAAAAATTTGGCCTTCTCTCCAGGCTACATTCCATGTTAACCGTCAAACGCTGAAGGTGCAGGAGACGGGGCCAGGGGTTTCTCCATCTGTGCCAACAAGAAAATTGAATCATTGCTCTTTGGTGCTAAAGGGAAATGGGTTACTATCAGTTTACTTAAAGAATACTTTTTAAAGCAACTGTCCGGTTGTCTCTGGTTGACTTTGCCAGAACTTACGTTGATTGTGGAATTGCAGTAGCGTCAGGAGTTCCGGGTCAGCTGAAATGTGACACGTCTGCGATGAAGAACAAAAATATAAAGAACTTAATAATGTATTGATTCAAAGAGTTTTCTTTACTTTTGTTTCTAGTTTGGCAGCCTTAACAGACAGACAAGCAACATTTGTGCTTTTTAAACTCATTGTCAATCAACCAGCACCTCAGTGGCCGCTAATCATACGAGTAAGTTTTAATCATTGGATACTATAATTTAAGGCTGATAGTTTCGAAAGAAACTGTTTGGGGCTGCGTCGGTGGGGGTAACGAAATAATTTGGATATATCAACAAAGTTGAAATGGTAAATTGGCCACTGTAACGATTACAAAAGCTGACGTTTCGAGCGTTAGCCCTTCTTCGTTAGCCCTCCATCGTTAGCCCTTCGTCGTTAGCCCTTCGCTCCGACGAAGGGCTAACGCTCGAAACGTCTGCTTTTGTAATCGTTACGGTGGCCAAGATACTATAATTAGTTTATTATAACGTCACGTTTTCAATACACGTAAGTGCAACCGAGTAGCCCATTTCCGAATTGCCTTTAGCCTCTTTTTCAAAGCGACTTCTGGTGCTCATCCTTTCGTATGGTAATAAGTTTTCATTCACACGCAAATTAAACTCATTTTCATACGTATGGTTGAGCACCAGGCCTCGTTTTGAAAAAGAGACCAAACGTAATTCGGAAATGGCCTATTGCTTATAGGAAGGAAGCAACGGAAGCATGTTATCTAGTTCTGTTAACCACTCCCAAGAGATGGGGTCTGTTGTATTCTTAGGCAAGACACTTGGCTCTCAAAGTGCCACTCTCTCCGGCATATCGTCAGCAGGGAAGCCTGATGAAATACCGGTGGGGGGGAGGAGGGGGGAGGAGGTATCCAGCGATAAATTGGCTTCCCAGAAGGAAGATTTGCGATAGCCATGCGGGCCTGTCAGTGGAGTCTCATGTACGGACTTGACCTTACTTCTCTCACCATTAACTTCGATCTCCGCTTTTGTAAAAAGTGGGTGCTGGGTTTATCAATTTATGCCTTTTGGCGATTCTCTGCTTCTCTGAAATTCTTCTATAATTTTAGTTCAATATATTGATTTACATAAATAGAGGATTCGTGAAGAGTACACTTTAAAATTGTTGCTCCATTTCTTAATTCCAAGGCACTTCTGAGTAGGAATGCGAGACTGCCTGTCACAGTTGTGAAGTTTGGAGGTAAACCATAACAATTCTCCATAAATAGTGCATTTGTCAACACAGGTCATACATTCAAAGACGATCTTTCGCCTTCAAATGTAGGTGAAAAGCCTTCAATTTTAATCTCTAGTTAGAGCCGAAAGCTCGTTGAAAATATTCGGAGGAAGGACGAGAAACAATTACACTCGACTCACATGTCACATCAACTAGCGCCCGTTTTTCTTGCAAGTCCACCCGGTAACTTTAAGGACCCGAGACAGTTCATTCTATTTCTTGTTATGATATCTATACTGCTTGAATTTCCAAATTGTCAAGGTCTCAACCTTGAACGAAACATGAAAAACAAAAATCAGTTAATTACCTGTGCCTCGAGAATCGAACCTAGGCCACAACGGTAGAAGACGAGCGCCATCACAACTGCGCTAGCGCCCTCAATGCTGCCCTGTTATCAGTTAGTGTTGCTCGATGCTGATCAGTGCTTACTCTTTTCCAGACCTTTGTGATCTTAGAACTCCAGTGAACGGTTCACATTCTGGACTTGACCAGGCCGCGGGATCAAACTGGTTTGACGAGGAATCGACGTCGTCGGTTCAGAGTGCAAACAAGGTTAAAGAGGGCGTGGTGTGTTCATTGTATCACATTCTTTTCCAGTGTTCAAATGAATCACCAGGACTAGTCAACTATCTCATGGAAATTGTTAGTAGGTATGGATTTCATTGAAAGAGGTTCTCTTTTTTAGTTTTAGTTTTGTCATACCTAAAAAACTGTCCGATAAATGAAAGCGAAATTCCGATCAAGTTATTGCACACGCTGTAGAAGGAAATAACAGATGATCAAAAAGAACATTTTTTCGTAAAATGTTTGTCTCAAAATGCTATCAGGTCCGTAGTCAGTGAGAGGCGAACCGAGGCACTCACCTAGGTTGAAATTTCCTGTTTTATTCTTTTTTCGCCTCGTTTGTATCTCAGGGAAAAGGAGGAATTTTGCCTCCATTACAATCCTATTAAAAAAAAGATAATTTATATATCCAATATTTGATTGACAGCGTAGTGTTGGATATTGTCAGAACCATATCTTTTAAAATAGAACCTCGGTTGGAAAATTTTTCTTGCTACGGGCCTGGCTATTCGCCCGCAAAGTACCTTCTCTTTTCTGGTGATGAAGGAAAAAATATACAGTAGTTAGATGAAGCATAAATTACTCGAGCTGGCGTTCCAAAGGTCTCTAGCTATTTTGTTTAAGTTTACGCTTAAATGATTGCTGAGAAAATACAGTGAGAAGTTGTTCATGTGACAATTTGGGTTAACTAGACTTAAGCAAACGTTTCGGATTTGGCCTTTAACATCGCTATCTTCCACTCTTGAAGGGACAAACCTGAAACATTTGAAAACCCTAGTATAAAACATGCTACTTTAACATTTCTCAAAATGTTTCCTTTTAACAAGTACGTAAGTCCCACTTAAATATTTTGAGGGACAACACATTGATTGTACAGCTTAACTTCAGTCTTTTCATGCAACTTTTGACTATTTCTTTTTGAAGGGAGGCTAGCTGGAAGCTTTTTGATGATGGCTCTTCAGGATTAAAGATTTCAGATGCTACGAAGGTATAACTACTATGTAATAACATCCTTTGTATTTTGTTAATTTCACTCTCAGCAGATATCACGTTGTTGCGGTTGGGTTATTTTTTCCTTGTCGTACAACATGTAATGTACTTACGTCTTGTCAGTTAGTAGTTCACCCAACCGACTAATTATCAGTATTGTGTTAGATGAAAAAAATTCCTTGTCTTACGGTAACGAGTTTCTCAAATTTTCCAATACGCCGAAAGATTTTTTTTTTTACTTTACTGTTTTTTTTTATTTCTTACAAATATAGAGCCCTGTTTGGCTTGATTGTGTCTTTAAAACATTTGATCCATATATTGTCAGGTGAGCTTGTTTCTTAGCTGATGATGGTATTGATCGTTATAATTACTTTTAAACGGATCTAAGAGTTAGTTGAGAGTAATCAGGACTCATTCCTGTTTTTCTCTAATATTTTGAAACAGTGTTTGCATTAAGACGATGTAGAGGCAAAGGAAAGGGTCACAGCGTTGTTTCATTTTTTCTCCCGTGATCATTTCATGAACTCGTTAACTTCCCGACAAACTCTCTTTTTGAGTGTTTTTACCTTGTAACTGGCCGAATTGGACAAATCTGAGGCTGTTAGCTGTCGCCCAAAAGTTATGCTAGGTTTTATTATCAGCCGGTTGCACGGAGACTGTTTTTTTATCTTTTTCCAATTCCCTTCCATATGCTCTTACATTCCCTTTAAGTAACTCTAACGCTGACAACTTATTTTTTGTTATTTTTTGTGAAGGAAAGTTTTGCGTTAGTGACAATATCAGCAGTAATCGCATTCTCGGTGTTGAGCTTACTGGGCGAGAAGACTTTGATTAATGTTTGACTCCCTGTTACAGGTTTTTGTATCCATCACTGCATCTGTTGTGTGAGAAGGACAAGAAAGTGACAAAGTCGTACAACTTTACCTCAGTGAGTGCGCTTCCGTGCGGTTGCCCGCGAAAGAAGTCCCCAAAGAACAGAGATACGAAAAGTAAGCTGTTTGACCCCAGTATATTTTCCCTTTTGACATAAATGCAAGCTTAAAACAGTTAAGTATCTTTGCCTTCTTTGCGTTACAAGAACAAGAAGTGGAGTTTTCCATCGTGCGCATTTCCTAGGAGCGCATTTAAATGTGGTGACTTTGTTCCTGATGCGTGATGTTTGCTTTGGGTTAATTACCGCAGCTTGCACAATTGTAAAATGTATTTGTTACTTCACTTTTGTCTTATGGATTTTTGTCTGTATCATTTACAGTTTCAAATAAAGAAAATCCAAACTCATGCTTTGTTTTCTTACCAGCCCTCCTTTAGCTTGTGTTTGTTTATCTGTGATTGTTTATACTTGATTTCCATGATAAAAATAGGTGTTTCTCATTGTAGGTCAGACCGATGTTATGTACACTGCACTTCAGGATCTGTTAAATCAGCTGACAAAGCATTTCTGTGCTATCCCGAAGATCATGTGTCAGTTTTTGAACAGGCTGGAAGGTATTCGTTTTACTTCTACTGTAGTTATTTTAGACAAATGTTTGATAATGTTTCACATGCTCTGAAATCACTTTGTGGGACGTCGTGGCGTATTTTTTGGGCTAAAGTAGAGAGTTTGAAGGGTTAAAATTAATTTGAGCCCGCTAGCACGCTCGTGTAATTGTTCTGAATGATTTATTGTCATTGTTTCAGTTTTCATTTTCTGTCTCCTCCGGATTGATAATGATGATAAAGGAGTTGCCTTTCTTGGGCAGAAATATGTTGAGGGCCCTTCTCAGAGCCGGCTCAAATTAGCCCTCGCTTAGCGGTTCGGGCTAAAATGACTTAGAGTCGCGCCAAAACATATTTATGCCCGCGAACTTAAATTATATTGTCTTTTTATTCTAATACATTTTCAAGCTCTGTTACTCAACTATAGTTTTGTTAGGGTTCAATGTGAAGTGGTGAATAATTTCTGTGCTATTTGATAAGACTTTTTAATTTTACAGAATTGATACAGCAGAAGTCGATTGATCTACCAAAGGAGACTGCCGGCATAACGGTAAAGGCAGTTCTAATGTTATATTGATAATCTGCTCAAGCATTCTTGCTGGTTAGCTTGTAAAAAAATGCTTAGAATGCAGTCAGCTTTTTAGTACTGTTTGCATTTGCAGGTGACCAGAAATGTGACTCGACAGATGGGTGTTGGTCGTTCGTTGGGTCGGTTAGCTAGCCGGTCGGGCATCAGTTGAAATTCTTACCGATTTGTTTTACGACAAGTTATTGATTTTTTATACCGAGTCGATGGTAATTAATGAGTCCAATCTTGCAAGTCCTCGCCAGTATTCTGACGGTTGGTTGGTCGTTCGGTGGGTTAGTCGGCTGGTCGGGCATCCGATAAAATCCTCACTGATTTGTTTTCCGACAAGTTATCGATCTTATAGCGAGTCGATGTTGATTAGTGAGTTCTATCTTGCAGGTCCTGGCCAGCATTCTGTATCGTTGGCTGATGGATTTCGACAAAGTTTGTGCGGCCTGTGAGGCCCGGCTGAGCACCGAGACTCAGAGAAGCGTTGCCATGTTTG